CTTACACCCCCCCCCCCCCCCCTTAGTTTTCCTCTGCAGCATTATCGCGGCGGAAAGTCTTTCTCTCGTGAGGTCGTATTAGCGAGTTACTTAGCGTCTTTATGCTCGGTGGATATTCCATGTTTTGACAAAGAGTTAGTTTAGTTATACTTCCACCGTAGCCAAGCAAGTCAAGTACGACTTGGGCTTTGGAAGAAAGCGCATTCTGTTATCCCGTTGACCGGGGATTCGTTATTGAACCTAGGATCATTGTCATTAGCATCTCGCGTATTTAGCATCTCGAGTATCTAATTACCACGGTTACTTGTCAAATTCTGCAATAATCATATTTGCACTAGTTAATATCTTCTCTATTGCATAACAACAATATCTAATCCAAACGACAATTCGTTTCACGCTCCTAACCCTAATCATAATGTGAACCCGACATATATATGATCATACGGCCGATAATGACCCATGACCACCCTTTCTCGATAAATGGAAGCTCTTACCTCTACTTTATCTTTATTGTAAGAAAAAATAATTAACAATCGACTCTAATGATTCTTAAAACACGTAAATTTTCTGACTTCAGTATGGTTTTTTCTGTACGGTTCGTCAGTATGGTTTTAGAAAAACCAGATGTACGACAAATCACCTATCAAACATAGAAATATTTGTTTGTGATGTCTTTATTACTAAACAACACTTAATAAAAATAGGATTTGATATTGAAAAAGGTTTCGATATGGTGTGGAAGGATAGAGTCATGAAAATTCGAACAGTTAGTTAAATCGATTGAAAAATGTTAAATTTCATCAATCTTGTTTGCAATCAATCAATCTATGTCACAATAAATGTAGCATTACCCCAAAAATTTGGAATACAATATGAAATCTCACAACATACTCTTTTAAGTACTCTTTCTTATTGCTCCAACAAATCCTCTTCTATCATTCCATGTCTTGTTAAATTCTGCATTTATGCCGATTATATACCACAATTTTATGCAGTGGCAGAAACATAACCACAACTTAATTCATTCTTCACGATTTGCTCGACAAAATACAGAAATAGTCAAATAATTTCGAATTTCCTGGTAATAAGACAGAATATATTATATTCTATATATTTATTCATCATTCTATATCTAGATAATATTATTTTCTCCAGATTATTTAACAATGCCTTGTGCGGCCTGCTACCGAACATCGGCGGGGCGGGAGACGCGGTGCGCCGACTTTACGAGGGCGTCATTCTGTCCCGAGTGATGGCGTGCCGCCGCAGCATCCTGCTCCTGAGGAGGCTACACAGGGTAACCGCCATCAGAATCATTAGGGGATACCGGACGGTGTCTCACGCGTCGGCGACCGCCCTAGCCGCGTCCCCCAGTGGGAGCTCCGGGCGCTAACGCTCAAAAAGAGATACACCCACCGGAGAGTATGGCATCCGGAAGAAGATCCGACTGAGCAGGCGGCTCCGAACGACATAGGAACCGCTGAGGAGGACACGTGGGACCGGTGGCGATTCTATCTGATCAACGAGGGAGGCGAACATCGGGGCGCAGAGGCGAACCTCCCAAACTGGGAGGCATGGAGGAGTCGCCACGGCCACTCGCTCACATTCAGAATGACCCAGGTGCTCACAGCAAATGGCGTGTTCGGCGAATTCCTGAAGAGAATCAGACGAGAGACGACAGACATCTGATGCCAATACGGAGAGCGCAGGGACACAGCGTAGCACACCCTGGAGCACTGTCCGGCGTGGGAGCTGCCCCGCTACACTCTGCGGCACGCCATAGGAGAAAGATTGACCCCCTCAGCGATTGTTAAAGCGATGTTGAGAGGGTCACAAGATTACGAAGCCGTCCGCCTCTTCTGCGAGCGAGTTATGCTCGCGCAG